CTTTCGGATGGTTGTGGGGCGATTGTGGGGCTCCCCAGGCGGCTTCGGGCGCCCAGAAGACCGCCGTCTTGGAGCGTCGGGAAGAAGAAAAGAGGAGAACCTTAAAATTCACCAGCAACCTATAGAAAATCAATGGTTTTTGCTTCGGGGACCCTTCTTGGGAGTGCTCTTGGAGGCCTCTTTGGGGCCGTTCTGGAGCCCTCTTTGGGCCATCCTGAGGTCACGTCGGTCACTCTTGGGGCGCTCTTGCGCTGTCTTGGGGGTTTCTGGGGCGTCTCCGATGACTTCCCTGATCGCCCCAGGTGTTCTGGGAAGGCTTGGCAAAGCGCCATGCGAGGCCCGGGGGCCGCTTCGAGGCCCTTCTGGAGGGCCCCAAAGCCCCAGATCTCGGGAGTCCGTTTTTTTTTTAGGGGGGGGGTGATGGGTTTTCCCCCCGCCCGGGCATATCAAAATATAGGAAGAGGAATATGATGCAACTGGGCCAGCACATTCACGAATCATCCAATGCCTACAAAAGCCATTACACCTCAGGCAGGTTTCGATCAGGACATGTCAAAGTTCGAGGACTTTTTTGATACGCCAACACCAGAAGGAGCCACAAGAGAAGCTTCAGAAGCCGAACCAGCACATGATGACGGACGGCTTTCTACGATTTACGAGGAAGCAGAAGCTGATATTGAGTCGCATGTCATGGAGGTGCGGTACGCAGAATTGCAAGAGGAAAGAGAATTGTTGGAGGCATCTCCATTAGAAGACCTCTTTACCATGCCCACGCAGATGATTCCTGATCAGAGCGTGCTGATTACTGTAGCTGATGAACAGCGGGACACCTGCCTAAGTGGGGGCGCACTCGCGACTCCGATGCCGAGGAGACGTGCTACGCCCGCCTGTGCACCATGGTCGAAGACGACAGCTACGGGCTCGACTCAGACGAAAATGGTCGATACGTTGAACTGCGTTTTAGGCAGGAATGTCGAAGGTAGTCCTGTCCGAGCAGCAACGCATGATAGTGGATGCCGAACGGGTGACCACTATGCGAGTATACGTTGCCGCCGCTGCAAAGCGAGCCGTGGTCGTCAAGGAAGACGACTTCCCCACTAAGCTGACGCCCAGGCAAATCCCGAGAAAGTACTGAGGCGCCTCTTCGCTGTTCTCAAGACATGGTTCGACAACACATGCTTTCAGATGCAGGAGATAGCCAAAGCGTCTAACATCATGACTTCGAGGTACGTGTACAACTGGAAAGTCGTGAAGAACGAAGAGGGCGAGATGGAACGCACCATCCGACTACGCGTGGTACTCCGAGGCTTCATGGACCTTGAAGCTTTCGACGCAGAAACATTTTCGGGAACAGCAAGAAGGTCGAGCCAGAGGTTGCTCGCCAGCGCGGCTTCGTGCAATAATCAGTGGATCATTGCTTCCCTCGACATCAACACGGCCTTCCTGAAGGGATTGACATCAGGAACTTGTTGAGGCTACTGGTGAAAAGGAACGTGTGGTGTGCTTTACTTTGCCGCCTGGATCGGCCGCTGTGCTCTGTGCTCTTCCAGGATTCGAGAACTGCGACGAGCCGAAGCACTGCCTGCAGTGCTTGAAACCGGGCGCAGGCACTAAGGACGCCCCACGGGCTTTCTCACTTAAGCTCAGAAGAACCACCAGAGGATGTGGCCTCCGACCCACGCCTTACGACGAGGAGTTCGAGACGAGCAATAATTTGCTCACGGCCAAGCATGTCGATGACATTAATATAGCTAGCACTGAGGGCACCATTGAAAAATACGTCAAATCCGTTGAAGATACTTTCGGCAAGTGTAAACTCAACAAGCACACGTCTACTAAATGTGCGTTGAGATACACTAAGGACGAGGACGGCGATGTTACTTAGGATCACGATGAATATATCAAGGAGCTCCGTCCTATACAACATCCCGAACTGACCGGCGCTGGCGCTGACGCTCAAGCAACCAAGATGGTGGCAGGCTTGTTCGTCAGTCTCAGTGGTGCGCTGGGATGCGCACTGATCACCCTGGTGTGGTGAATGGTGCAAGTTGTATCTCTACAGCGTGTCCAAGAACCGACCATAATTCAAGTGCGACGACTGAAAGCGACCACCAGAAAATTACAGGCCTGCCCGAAGAAGACCGTCTACCAGGCGATAAACCCCACGGGCGAGGTCGACTTACATATCGACTCAGGCTATCGACGCCTGAGTGGAGAACCCAACGACGACGTGAAAGGCTATGGTATTCGCGGGGCAAGCCTGCCACGACGTGGAAGCACGCCATCTAGCAAGCCTGTCGTTCACATGATTGACGCGCATTGCAAGTCTCACCGCTTGCAGGCCCGCTCGAGCTATTCAGCAGAGACGCCAGCAGCAGCCCATAACTTGGAGGACTGTCATCCCGCGGTTGTGACTCTGCAGGAGCTCCACGCGGGGCCGCTCACGCCCACTCAGTTCAAAGATATACTTGAATTGGGTGGCCTGAGCATCAAGGTCACGTTGACCATCGATGCTGAGTCTGTTTTAAAGTCCTTGTCAAGGTGAGACATGGAGAAGCCGTCTGGGTGTACCCTTTTTTTAGGACACATCAGTTGGATACGACAGATGATGGAGCGTGGAATCGTGCACAGCATTCAGCGATACCCGCGACATGACTGCGGATGGCCACGCCAAGAGGAGCATCGACAGAGAAATGCTCTTACAAGTCATGGGAGGTACACAGACCTTCAACCATGACCGGAAGAGACATACTCCATATCGGGCCGGCCAGACATCAAGTTCTGACGCCGCCTGATAAGTATGTCATACATATGCGAGGCAACTTGCTGGCGGGTCCACCTTCCTTTGGGCCCGTCTCCTTTCCTGTCCTTGTGTAGGATAGCTGCTGAAAAGTGCCTGCTGTATAGGGGCGTCGGGCTCGCGTTTCGTCTCCCCCCCCCCCCCCCCGACTAAAGCGAGCTGAGGGACGTCAGGAGTGGAAGCGAGCGTGCGCCCGCGGCCGCGTTGGCTCAAGCGGCCGGCCGCCCAGATTTGCCTGTGCCCCCCCGCGAGGCACACAATCGCTATCGAGACCAAAAGGATATTCCTATTGCTTGAGATGGCATCACCTCTCCTAGTGGGATTATCGCTAGTACGATACAACAGAGCTGGAACTTGGCTTCGCCTGAGGCGAAGCTGTTGGCTGGGCCTTCTAGCCCCCTTCAAACTGTTGGGAGCCAGCTGTGTGTGCGGCGAGACCGCCTCCTTCTCACCAGTCTGTTGCGTTGGTCGGGTGGGGGGGCTAGACGAGCATGTTGCTGTTGCGATTCGGGTTGGGCTTGTGACGAAGATCGTGGGCCACTTGTGGGTGAGAGTAAAAGGGGTTCGAGAAATCATGATTTGAGCATTCAGCAACAGCTTGATTTGTTTCTGGTCTTGGTCGTGGTGTGTGTGGCCGTTGTCCTTCAAGCAAACCTTGCCAAACTGTTGATTATGTGTTGATGTGTGGGTGGACGTGCCTCGGCCGCCACGCCCGCGCGCTTTTGGGGTTTTCTGCTGCGTCGCTGCGCGCGCGGCGTCAACGCATCAGCAAGATGAACGCGCAGACGTACCATGATACATGATGTGTATGTGTTCGTCTGGTCCAGCGTTGGTGGTGCACGCGTACGTGGTCCGCGCCGACGTTGTGGGTTGGGCGGCCGTCTTGCCAGCTTCAGCCTGGAACGCATTTCCCGCCCAGTGGCTATATCTGTGGTTGTTTGTTGGAGCCGATAGCGACCAGACAGGCCCCAGCCTGTTCTCGCGAAGGCTATGTGCCCAGGTCAGAACGCACTGCCCCACCATGAGCCGCGCCCCGCAATTGCACATCCACTTTCCGAGGCCTGTCGCGCTGAGTACGACAGTGCCTCATGCCGCGGCATGTGCGCCACGTAGCGCGTGCCTGGGCCCATGTCTCGGAGTGTCTCCAGGAGGCCCGTCCCTGCTCGGAGTCTTACGTGCGCTGTTCAGGCTGCGCTGCTGCGCTGTGCAAGGCCGCAGTGGCGCCCGCGACCCTCCGCCGGACGTGTACGCTCCGCACGGTGGCATGCCCGTGGCAGCGGAGCATATTCGTGGCAGCGGCCCTCCTGCTGTTTTTTCCGTTCTCCCCCTTTCCGCTAGAAGGACAGCACAGCGGGTCGTTCTGAGGGGCTCGAGGTATACACCACGTCGTCTGGTCGGCCGAGGAGCCAGGAAATTCGGCGAAGAGACTTTGCGTACGAACGCTCCGACGTCCCGACTTCGTGTCTGCTTCCGACGCACTACCAGTCCCTGCCCGCCGCTGCCCCTCCTGCGCCCACCCCATCCACCCACGGGGTTTGAGGTTTCCGAGCGGCTGCAAGAGAGGGTTTCCTCGCTTCCTCCGTTCTCTACCTCTTCGCGCCCTGGCGCAATTTCTTAACCTGGGCCCCGGGGACCTCGACCCTTTCGCAGGGTCCAGGATTCCATTTCGAGTAATTCCCAACCATCCTGAGACGTTGGGTCCTCGTTTTGACGAGACAACGCCCCGCGTCTCCTTCACTCCTTCTCTCCCGCTGCTCTCCCCCCACCTCCCATCCTTGCCTCTGCCCTCCGCATGTTCAAGTCGACACACCCTCACACGTTTCGTGGCCCCCTAGGGAGCTCCTCCGAAGGCCCCAGCGGCATGATCCGCATGGCGATGTCGGCAAACCTCTCACACATTTCGTGGCCCAACAGGGAGCTCCACCGAATGCCCCAGCGGTAGGGTCTGCATGGCGGCCCCGCACACATTTCGGCACACCCCTCCCATGCTTCGTGGCCTCAAAGGGAGCTCCACCGAATGCCCCAGCGGCAGAGTCCGCATGTCTCCCCCGCACACATTTCGCCGCACCCTTCACACGTTTCGCGGCCCCATGGGGAGCTCTACCGGAGGCCCCAGTGAGGGTTCGGGCGGCCGAACACGGCCAAACCCCAAATTTTCTCCTCGACGACAGAAGATCTTGGCTCCCTTGTACTGCCCCAGGAGTTCGAAGGGCTGCACGAGGGGACCTCGGAGTGCCGCAAGCGCGAGGTCGGGAGGTCCTACGCGAAGCCCGCACCCTGGCCGGCGGACAGCGCCTCCGCCAAGTGAGGAGGAAAAAGAGGAGGCGGAGGAGGAGGAGAGGGAGGAGGAGGAGGAGGAGGAGGAGGAGGAGGAGGAGGAGGAGTTGAGGGAGGAGCAGGAGGAGGAGGAGGAGGAGAAGGAGGAGGAGGGCGAGGAGGAGGAGGAGGAGGAAGAGGAGGAGGGAGGGGAGGAGGAGGAGGAGGAGGAGGAGGAGGAGGAGGAGGTGGAGGAGGAGGAGGAGGAGGAGGAGGGGGAGGAGGAGGAGGAGGAGCCTTTGGTGGCGGAGGAAGGAGACAGGTCGAGGTTCGAAGAGCGCGATTCGAGTATCGAGGTTTTTTGAACATTCATGACGTCTGAGTCTTCTCGTCGACAAGGCTGGATCCGCCCCGAATTTCTTGCAAGGCTCGGCCCATGGGGCCCTTATCCATGGGCCCAGGACCGTTCGGAATGAGAATCCAGTCCCGGGAAGGGGTCCAGATCTCCATGGGAAGCTATCACTCAGGAGGGGAAAAACACAGAGACACAATTAATCGCCGACTCCTAGGAACATCGGAGGTGAGGGGGTGAGATCGAAGTGGAACGGAGAGCCCCCTTACCGGGAAATCGATTTCGGTTTCGTGTTCGTGCGTGCCGTGCGTGCGGGCGAGGCGTGTCTTCTGTAGCTGAGGTGCGGCCGGACCAAATGATTCCGGACCGGCGTCCGGTGGCCCGCGGTGCCCCGCCGGTGTCCCGCCTCTGGCTGAGGCGCGGCCAGACCAAATGATTCCGGACCGGCGTCCGGTGGCCCGCGGTGTCCTGCCCGTTTCCCGCCGGTGTCCCGTCGGTGTCCCGATGATGATGATAATGATGAAGATGATGATGATGATGATGATCATGATGATGATGATGATGATGATGATGTCGATGATGTTATTGATGATGTTGATGATGATGATGGTGATGGTGATAGTGGTGATGATGATGGTGTCCCAATGATGACGATGATAATGTTGACGATGTTGATGATGGTGATGATGATGGTATCCCGATGATGTTGTTGATGATGCTGATGTTGCTGATGATGATGGTGTCCCGGTGATGATGATGAGGATGATGTTGATGATCCTGATGATGTTGATGATGATGAGTGGATGGTGGTGATGAAGACGATGATGATGATGGTGTCCCGATGATGCTGATGAGATTGATGATGATGATGATGATGGTGACGATGATGATGGTGATGATGATGATGGTGACTCGATGATGATGTTGATGATGTTGATGATGATGACGATGATGGTGTCCCGATGATGATGATGATGATGCTGATGATTATGATGATTATGTTGATGATGATGTTGATCATGAGGATGATGATGCGGTGATGATGATGCTTTCGATGATGGTGGCCCGATGCTTATGATGATGCTGATGTTGATGATGATGATGATGGTGTCCCGATGATGATGGTGATGATGATGATGATGATGATGGTGACCCGATGATTATGGTGTCCCGATGATGATGATGATGATGATGATGATGCTGATGATGATGCTGATGATGATGTTGATGTTGATGGTGCTGATGTTGTTGATGATAATTTTGTCCGGATGATGATGATGTTGATGATGTTATTCATGATGATGATGATGAGATGATGATAGTAATGATGGTGGTGTTCCAATAGTGACAATAATAATAACGATGTCCCGATAATGCTAATAATGATGATGATGATGATGATTGTGACGATGACGGTGTCCCGATGATGATGATGATGGTGATAGTGATCGTGTTGGTGATGATGGTGATGATGTGATTATTATGATGATGGTGTCCCGATGATGATGACGATGATGATGCTTATGATGTTGATGACGTTGATGACGATGATGTTGATGATGATAATGACGTTGATTGTGATATCGATTTGTGATATCGATCGTGAGATCGATCGTGAGACCGAATGTGAGATCGATTGTGAGATCGATAGTGAGATCGATAGTGAGATCGATTGCGAGATCGATCGTCAGATTGGGTTGTGAGATCGATCGGATGTACTAGATCGAGTGAGATCGATTGTGAGATCGATCGAGTGAGATCGATCGAGCGAGACCGATAGTGAGATCGATAGTGAGATCGATAGCGAGACCGATCGAGTGAGACGTTGGTTCCTCCCCCCCCCCGAACCTCCTTATCACCCGAAGGGTGGTCGTATAGGTATATGAAAATATGGAAAATGGGGGGGAAGACGAAAATTCAGAAAACATGGACAAGTATGGGGAATCCTGGGATTTGTGCGTATTTATGTGTGTGTGTCCCTGGGCCCCTTCAATCACAACAATCCTGAGGTCCGCGCGGATTTCTGCGGTCAGCGCCTTCCCCCCCTGGCGTCGCTCTCGTCGTCGCCCCGCGGCAGGCGAGGGGGTCCAACGCCTGTCCGAGATTCCGCACAAATATCCGAAATTGTTGATGTTTTGCATCTCCCCACCAGCTTGGTCACGTTGGCGGTCTCTCGCCCTTTCTACACCGGCGTCCTCATCAGCTTGGTTGGCGTTAAAAATGGTCTGGGCATTTTTTCACCATTTCCAGCTCGGCATATTGAAAATCATTTTTCTACCATTTTCAGATCTCAACATAAAAATTAGAAATGCTATAAAAATGAATCATTTTTATTTCATTTCCGGATCATTTTTTGTCATTTCCAGGTCAGATCTCTACCGTACGAGTACTACTACTAGTACTACTAGTTCTACTAGTACTCCTACTACTACTACTACTACTACTACTAGTACTACTACTACTACTACTACTACCACTACTACTACTACTACTACTACTACTATTACTACTACTACTACTACGACTACTACTACTACTACTACTACTACTACTACTACTACTACTACCACTACTACTACGACTACGACTACGACTACGACTACTACGACTACGACTACGACTACTACGACTACTACTACTACTACTACTACTACTACTACTACTACTACTACTACTACTACTACTACTACTACTACTGCTGCTGCTGCTACTACTACTACTACTACTACTACTACTACTACTACTACTACTACTACTACTACTACTACTACTACTACTACTACTACTACTACTACTACTACTACTACTACTACTACTACTACTACTACTACTACTACTACTTGGTTTGCGCCCAGCCCTTTGCCGAGCTCCAGCGGCTGGCTTGATCCAGCGGCTGCGCGCGCAGTGAGAGCAGCCACCAGAAAGCAGCCAGCAGAGCTTCCCCAAACGGCCAGGGGGCCTCTGGGCCTGATTTCGACCATGTTTTTACAATTTCCAATACATTTTTTTACCATTTTTAACTCTGAGTACGAACTCCGGTTCTGGGCTCCCGCCGTTCCCCTGTCCGCGCAGCTACTGGATCAAGTCAAGGGCTGGGGCGCGCCAGCGACGCCACGATTCAGCGATGGTGTCCGCGCAATGCCTGAGCCGCCAGGCCATCATGGAGTTCATGAAAATCCACGTCGAGATCAAAAACGTCGCCTCCAGTAGTAGTAGTAGTAGTAGTAGTAGTCGTAGTCGTAGTCGTAGTCGTAGTCGTAGTCGTAGTCGTAGTCGTAGTCGTAGTCGTAGTCGTAGTCGTAGTCGTAGTCGTAGTAGTAGTAGTAGTAGTAGTAGTAGTAGTAGTAGTAGTAATAATACTAGTACTAGTACTCGTACTAGTACTAGTAGTACTAGTAGTACTAGTACTAGTAGTACTAGTAGTACTAGTAGTAGTAGTAGTAGTAGTAGTAGTAGTAGTAGTCGTAGTAGTAGTAGTAGTAGTAGTAGTAGTAGTAATAGTAGTAGTAGTAGTAGTAGTAGTAGTAGTGGTAGTAGTAGTGGTAGTAGTAGTAGTAGTAGTAATAATAGTAGTAGTAGTCGTCGTAGTACTAGTAGTAGTCGTCGTCGTAGTAGTCGTTGTAGTAGCAATAATAGTAGTAGCAGTAGCAGTAACAGTAGCGGTAGTAGAAGTAGTCGTCGACGTCTTCGTCGGCATCGTCATCGTCGGCGTCGTTGTCGTCGTCCTAATAGTAGGGGTACAAGAGGAACGCCAGGAAATGATACAGAAAGGCGGCCTCACAGAGGCAGCAAAACATGACAAAACAATGAACCAACAACGGAGAACAAATGTTTCATCTTTTTACCATTTCCAGCTCTCCAAGAGCGGAAAGTTGGAAATGGAAAAAATGCCCAGGCCATTTTTAACGCCATCCAAGCTCATCAGCATCCTCGTGGGCGTGCTCCCAATGCTTTCGTGATGCCTCCCGCGCCATCTTGGCTGCGCCTCGCTCTGTTCCGCTCTTGTGGCGGACACTGTTCATTTCGCTGTTGTTTCCTTCGCTGCGGCGCGGCCCGCCCTAGCGTACTCGGCGTTCGACTTATCTTCGCGCGCCCGTGGACCAAACCATATCCCCACCAGCCCATCCAGAAACAATGCCCAGGGAAGTTGGGGTGATCAGGGCAGTGGAAGAGCATGCAGAATACACAACGGGCGAGGGAAGCCGTCATATACCCTAAGAGGGGGAGAATGGAGGAGGAATCGTCGTCGTCGTCGCAAGAGGAGGAAGAGGATGAGGAGGAGGATGAGGAGGATGAGGAAGACGAGGAGGAGGAAAAGGAGGGGGAAGAGGAGGAGGAGGAGGTGGACTAGGGCGAGGACGAGGAGGACGAAAAGGAGGAGAAGGAGGAGCAGGAGGGAGAGTTGGGTACCTCAGGGGCCTCTTGGGGCCTTGTATGGGGTCTCTTGGCAGCCTCTTGGGGGCCTCTTGGGGCCTTCTAGGCGCCTCTTGGGGCCCTCTTCGGGGCGCTCTTGGGAGCTTCAGGGGCGCTCTTGGGGCCATCGTGGAGGACATCGATCAAAACGGAGGGGAGCTCCACTCAGTCTTCCCCCTCGGGAGCACCGAACATCGTTTCCTGACCCCTCTTGGAGCGTTCTTGGGGCGCTCATGGGCGCTCGTGGGGCCGCCTTGGGGCTCTCTTGGGTCTCTCCTGGGGCTCTCTTGGGCCATCTTGGAGCCACCTATGGGGCCTCGGACATCGGAAGCGGAAAGGCGAGGAAGCAACAACTATTGTTTTTTTGGTGGGTGTTCGAACGGGTTTTGGCTTCTTGGGGGCCTCTTTGGAGGTCTCGGGGGCCTCCCCGAGCCGTCTTGAAACATGTTTGGGGCCTCTGTGAACACTTTTGGGAACCATCTTGAGGCATCGTGCGCTATCTTCAACAGTCTTCGAACTGAACTCATCTGGGACGCCCAGGGGCCCTGTTGGAGCTGTCGTGGGCCACCTTGGACGCTCCAGCGCCTCGCCCCCCCCCCCCCCCCCCCGCACCCTTCCAGGTCCACGGGAAGGGGGGGTGAGCCCTTCCCGAAGGGGAATCAATTGGTTGGAAGAAAGCACCTCTTTAGACATTGTCTTTGTAATCATCGTTTCCACATTTCGTCGTGCACAGAGCCTTGCTGTCTTCTCTTCTTTTTGTCTTTTTGTCCCTTCTGCTAGCGCTCTCCTCCGACCTCATTGCCAGGCACTTTATCTATACCCCCTCCCCCTCTCTCTCTCAAGTTTTTGTTGTTGTTGCCTCTTTGTCTTTTTCTATACATATTTGCTGCTCTCTCTCTCTCTCTTCCTCTCTCTCTCTCTCTCTCCCTCTTTCTCGCTATATGTATCCTTACATATGATAATCGGCATATATGCATATGGTGTTTTGTCCTGCTCCCTCTTTGTTCGCCCTTTCTTTCTTTCTTTCTTTTTTTCTCTCTCTCTCTCTCTCTCTCTCTCCCCCCCTCTTCCCCTGTTTCTCTCTCTCTCTCTCTTTCTCTGTTTCTTTTGTTGTTTTCTCTCTCTCTCTCTCTCTCTCTCTCTGCCTTTCCCCAGTGTGTATCCCACCAGCCCTCTGGGCGTAGGTGTCTAGGGGGGCTCAGCTTTCAAACCCCCTTCTTCCCCTTCGGGCAGGGGTTTCGCCCCTCTAATCCCCTCCCCTGGACCTGGACGGGGGGGGGCGGCGAGGCGCTGGAGCGTCCAAGGTGGCCCAAGACGGTTCCATGCGAGTCCAAGATGAGCTCGAAGATGGCTCAAGATAGCGCACGATGCCTCAAGGTGGCTCCCAAAATATTCACAGAGGCCCCAAACATGTTCCAAGACGGTTTGGGGAGGCCTCCGAGACCTCCAAGGAGACCCCCAAGAAGCCAAACCCATTTCAAACACCGAAAGAAAATCAATGCTTGTTGCTTTCTCGCCTTTCCGGTTCCGATGGTCATCCGAGGCCTCACGATGGCTCCAAGATGGCCCAATAGAGCCCCAGGAGAGGCCCAAGAGAGCCCCAAGACGGCCCCAAAGCGCTCCACGAGGGGTCCAGGAGGCGTGTTTCGGTGCTCCCGAGAGGGGAGAGTAGTTGGAGCTCCCCTCTTTTTTGATCGATGTCCTCCAAGATGGCCCCTGAAGCTCCTAAGAGCGCCCCAAGGAGGGCCCCAAGAGGCGCCCAGAAGACCCCAAGAGGTCCCGAAGAGGTGCCCAATAGACCCCATACAAGGCCTCAAGAGGATCCCCGAGGTACCCAACTCTCCCTCCTTCTCCTCCTTCTTCTCCTTCTCGTCCTTCTCGTCCTCCTCGTCCTCGCCCTACTCCACATCCTCCTCCTCCTCCTCCTCCTCCTCCTCCTCCTCCTCCGGCGGCGACGACGACGATTCTTTCTCCATCCTCCTCCTTTTGGTGTATATGATGGCTTCCACCGCCCTTTATTCTTCTGCATGTTCCCCCCCATTTCCTTGATCACCTCAACTCCCTTGGACATCGTTTCTGGAGGGGCTGGTGGGGATTTGTTTTTTTGTCAGCGGCCGCAGGCGAGCGCGCCAGCGGCGAGTCCAGTCAAAGCGGGGCACGCAACGACGAATTAACCTAAAGCGGCGGGGCGAAGCCTCACGCAGTAGTGGAAGGGGCTGGCTGTAGCTGAATACCAGTACTGCCAGGGTGCACGTATGCAACGCGTCGGAAGCTGCAGGAAGTCGGGAAGACTGGCGACCAGGGACAGCAGCAGACGGTGTAATTAGATGCAAGGGCGCAAGCCCCCAGACCTTTGTGGGCCGCTGAAACGGCAGGGCCGTTTTTTCACCGTTTCCAGACAAATGCCCTTTGAAAATGGAAATGGCAAAAAAACTGCGACCGGAAACAGCAAAAAACGGCTCCAGGATTGGAACTGGAGCCGGAACCGGTCAACAAACGGCGACGGAACCGGTAACAAAAACGGCGTCGGAATTGGCAACATAAACGGCAAAACGGAACGGGTAAAAAAACGGCCCTGTCGTTTCCAGGGCCCACTAAGCCCCAGACTACTGCAAGTACCAGGGTGGCCGCAGCCAAGTGATCCGACTGACGGAGGTCGAAGTGGTGCCCAGTGTGGGCGTGAGCGTTGGCAGGCTGCGAAGCGTCAACAAACTCTCGCTCTCTCTCTCTCTCTCTTGTTCTTCCTCTTTCCCTTCCCATCTTGTTTATTTTCTCCCTCTGTCTTTCTCTCTCGCATCAGTTTCCTTTTCCGACGCATGCGCGTATAGTTATGTACACCAATCCCCCACTGCAATCGCGCTTTTGAACAGGTTGCGTGCACGTTCTGTGCTCAACATGCTTGCAGTCCGCACTCTCACGTATCAATCTAGATCTTCGCTGTGCATGCGTTGACTGCGTTGAAGTACGCTTGTTGAGGGTGCGGAAATCTTTCGAATACGTACACAATCACGCACTACATCGTTTTGCTGCACACTTGGTCACTCCGCACACAATCTGCACCCGACACTTGCGAGTACCAGCAGGCGCGCGGTGTAGCGTCACATATTGCCTGTGGCCTGCCTGTGAAAAAGTATGGCCTTTCACCGAGACTTCAGTCTCAACGTGCATCATCATTGTCGTTGGTTTTGTTTCTTTTTTCAGTCGGCCTTTACCTCCCTTATATCGTTTTTTTACGTCTCGTCAGGGTCTCAACGGCAACCATTCAGATTGCTGTTCGACTTCCACTGGATCTTCCTATTCATTTCCCTCTTTCTATTGTGTTCGGCGTTCTACTTGAAATTACTTCCATTAATCTCCCCCGCCGCCGCCTCCTGACTCCTGCTGTTGCCCCCCCCTCCCATCCTGCTCGTGTCCGGAGGCCCCCGGAGGTCTCGAGAGGCCCCACATTGGCCCATCTCGCCGGAATGCCTCGCCATTCGAGCCTCAGATCTCGTCGCCGTCCTCACCCTCCTCGTCGTCGTCGTCGTCCTCCCCCTTCTCTCAGGAGAAGATGGGCCGATGGGTCACGATGCAGGGCACCCAGCTGCAGTCGGAGCTGTGGCTGCTGTTCCCGCTGCCAGACGTGCGGAAGCACTACAAGAGCCAGCCGTTGGACGCCAGCCTTGGGGGCGCGGGTCGAGGAAATCCATAGGATTCCTTAGGAAATCCATAGGATTCCTCACGCAGTCCATAGGATTCCTTCTTTTGGAAATCTATCAGAACCCTGATGAAATCAATACGAATCCATGATAAGTCAATGGATTCCTTCAGAAATCACAGGATTCTTCAGGAAATCCTGAGAAATCCGTAGCAAATCCATCGGAAAGCCATCGTCCTGGGGCGCCCTCGCCGCCACGGCAGGATCCGCCGCGAGTTCTGGCTCGAGTGCACCTCTGGATGATCCCCTCCAGGTCACTCGCAGGAATACGCAACATCGGAATTACACCTGCGGCGGCGGGTTTGGAATCCAGTCGGGAGTTGCTAGAAGTACCCCTGGCTCAAGGTACCCCCAGGATTCTCGGGGTGGCCCAGACGGCCTCCAGGGCACCCCTCACGAGGTCCAGAGGGCACCAGGAGCTCCAACATGGAGCAAACATCTGGGTGCACTTTGGGCCAGGGGCACTTCTAGCAACACCCGATCCAGCGAAGTCAGCGCGTGACACGTCTTTCTCGCCCTCCCTCACTGCCGCTGCCTGGACGCCGCTGCCTGGGACGGTCGGGAGCAACGGGGGGGGGGGCGACAACGTGGCGGGGCAGGCGAGGGCTGCAAAACAGGAAGGGCCCCTTGAAGGGCTTCCTGAGGGGCCCCAGCCCAGAAGGGGGCCCTTTCGGGCCAGAGAAGTGCACCTTTTTCTAGCCGCCCCATTTCTTCACACAGGGGAGGGGGAGGGGGAGTCCCGTGCAGGGGAAATCTCGCAGGTTGCACACCGTTTGTTTGGAGGCTCGCGTGCGCCCTTGACTCAAACGCTGGCGCACCTCGTTTGGGCAGGCTGCAACTCGCCAAACTAATTGTTGATTTGCTTGGGGCTAGAGCTCGTCATTCTGCTGGGGGGCGTGGAGCAGGAACGGTTGCGCCCCGGCGCGATTGCGGGCGTGGCTGGCGACGTGGAACGAGTTCAGGGATAAATATTTACACACGTTTTTTCCGTCGTGTTGCCTCGCGAGATGTTGCTTCCTGGGGGCGCGCCAAGACGCGACGTGTCTCGACGCGTGGGCGTTCACGTGTCTGTGGGGTCCAGGGGTTTTATGGTTTGGGGATAGTTTTGTTAGTTCCCGTGGGTCTGGAAAAGTTACCCCCAAACCGTGGGGGCACATCAGCACGAGGATGAGTTCAGACAGTTTGGGAGGTCCCCATCTCGGTGGCTTTCCCCTGTGAGGTTGCTGCGCGGGCTCATCTCCCCCCGTTGGATTAGCCTGATCGCTCATGTTATTGGTTCTTTGCCTGTGTGGTAAGTGTTCCAAAGTTCGGCGGACGAGTCCTTTGGCCCAATGCTTCTGTCAGTTGTTTGCAACGCGCGTGCCAATGCATTGTCTTTTGGATGAAGCGATCTCGCATTGCCAGATTTCGGCCGCAATATTGACAGAGCGGCTTTGCCCTCTGTAAAACAATATTACCCGCGGTGGGCGACAAGCAACCCTGAACAAGGGTAGGGGTAATAACATCACCACGCAGGGAGGGGGAGGGGATGGGGATGGGGAGGAGGAGAAGGAGGAGGAGGAGGAGGAGGAGACAGGGCCTCTGCCGCCCAAGAGCGTGCGGCGCCGGAGCGGTGGCGCCTCCGGCGCGTCTCGTGCCTCGAGGCTGCCGAGAGGGCTCCACCGCTGTGGCGTGGCGGCCCCGGCCGCCGGCGCGCGCGGGAGCGCCCCTCAGCAATGGCTGCCGAGGAGGCCGGGGAGGCGGCTGAGCTGCCCGCGGAGTCCGCAGGTGGCCGCGGCCGAGCGGAGGAGGAGGAGATGGAGGCGAAGGGGGGCGAGGAGGAGGAGGAGGAGGAGGAGGAGGAGGGGGAGGAGGAGGAGGGGGAGGCGGAGGATCCGGATAAGACGAGCGGTCAAGGGGGCAGAGTGGGAGGGGAGGAGGAGGAGGAGGAGAAGGAGGAGGAGGACGAGGAGGAGGAGGAGGAGAAGGAGTATGGAAGGCGAATGTCAGGAGGATGAGAAGGAGGAGGAGGATGATGATGAAGAGGAGGAGCTGTATGATGATGATGATGATGATGATGATGATGATGATGATGATGATGATGATGGTGATGGTGATGGTGATGATGATGATGATGATGATGATGATGATGATGATGATGATGATGATGATGAGTATTATGCTGATGCTGATGCTGATGCTGATGATGATGATGATGATGATGAGGAGGAGGAGGAGCATGACGATGATGATGACTATGATGCTGATGAGAAGGAGGAGCTGGTGATGATGATGATGATGATGATGATGACGATTACGATGGCGATGATGAAGATGATGCAGGTGGTGATGATGACGCTGATGCTGATGCTGATCCTGCTCATGATGAGGATGCTGATGCTGATGCTGATGCTGATGCTGCTGGTGATGATGCTGATGATGATGACGCTGATGATGATGATTATGATGCTGATGCTGATGATGCTGACGATGATTATGATGAGGATGACGCTGCTGATCATGCTCATGCTGATGGTGATGATGATGATGCTGATCATGCTGATGATGATGATTATGCTGATGTTGCTGCTGATGATGATTATGCTGATTATGATGATGGTGGTGGTGATGATGATGAGGATGATGCTGCTGATGATGCTGATGCTGATGCTTGTGATGATGATGATGATCATGATGATGATGGTGCTGATGATGATGAGGATGATGATGATGATGCTGATGATGCTGATGATGCTGATGATGCTGCTGATGATGATGATGATGATGATGATGATGATGATGATGATGATGATGATGATGATGATGATGATGATGATGGTGATGATGATGATTATGATTATGACGATGATGACGAGGGGGAGTAGGAGGAGGAGGAGGAGGAGGAGGAGGAGGAGGAGGAGGAAAGGGAGGAGGATGGGAATAAGGACACTCAGCTGGGCGGGCGAGCGCCTGCAGCTCTGGTGGGGGGACCTTTCCCTCCGCCCCAGGTGCGCCGGAGCTTCCAGCGGAGCCCGCCGTGGGGGAGCTCACGCCAGAGCGCTCCCGCGGAGGCTCGCGGCGGCGCGGCGCAGGCCGCGGGGCGCCCGTTGTCAGCTTTCGGCCACTCCTCTCGGTGACCTGCGGCGCCACGGCTGGGCTCGAGATTGTTTATTTTCGGTGGTGGGCGGGGTAATTCGCAATGTCGTAGCCCAGGTTGCTTGGACGCGCGAGCGGGTCGCCTCTGCCGCGTAAACGTAAAATGGGGGTGGGGGCGCCCCCCTCGCCCCGCCCGTAACGGTGCCGCACTTGCAAGGGGGACGGTGCAGGCTCCCTCGCAGGCATGGTGCGGAGCTCCCAGGCATGCCGTGGTGCTGACAGGCATGCCTCGGTGCTCACGAGCACGCTGCGGCGCTCACAGGCCCGATCCATTCCCCCGCCCTCTCGCCCGTGACGAACGTTACGGGGGGGGGGAGGACGGGGAGGACGGGGAGCACGAGGAGCGAGGAGCACGAGGAGCGAGGAGCACGAGGAGCGAGGAGCACGAGAAGGACGAGGAGGAGGAGGAGGACGAGGAGGACGGATGGATGTAGCAAACAGTCTCTTCGCTCGTGAAGGGGAGCGGCAGAGGGCGGCGGCCTCGAGGCTTCGAGGTGCGAGAGGCTGAAGGTTTCGGCCGTCTCTTCGTCGGTCCTCGGCGGCATTTCCAGCCGCGGGATGCCTTTCGGCGGATGCGCCGCGCCGAGAGCGGGCTGGGAGTTTCCTGGATCGTCCCTACTCTGGGGTTCTTAATAAGCGAGGGGGGGTACCCCCCCGACGGGGGGCAACCACGCCTCGTCGTCGCGCCGCGACTGGGGTCGGAGCGCCTTCGGCGCGCGGTGGCTGCCCGCGACCGGGGTGGATGTGGTGCTGTCAGCGGGGGTGACGCCCCCCCGACGCTTATCAAGAGACTCGGAGTAACGGCCGTCTGAGACCCGAGGTAGGACCCGAAAACTAAACACGACAGGAACCATTTGGGGGACAGGCTCATCGGGGGGCGGTCCATCTGCCCATTCATCCGCATTGCTTCGAAGAACAACATACAGCCGCGCGTTGCGGGGTGTGTGGGGAGGGGGCGGACTTCGTAGAAGCACCCCTGCTTCTTAGAAGGCGCGGTTCCTACCTATAGATGTAGGGCCAGCGCCTTTTAGTGAGAAACAGCCTCCGTCTAAGAAGCCTTTCCCCCTCCCCCATACACCATTGTGCGCGCCGCCAAATAATCTACATTAAACCTGATTATTCGGAGGTCAGCGCGGATTGTTGGATCGCCTTCGGCGCCGCCCTTGGCGCGCGGAGCGCGCCAGGGAGGGGGTCCAGCGCCGATCCAAGACATCCCCACGCACCTTCGAGGCATCATGCTGATGCAATTTATTGATCCACGTTCATCCACTCTTGCTTTCCCCCGCGGGCGGGAACGTTACCTGAGGATCTTTCCAGTTCGACTCTGCGCGTACTAGCGACTCCAGCGTAACTTGTGATCGTTTGTTTATGCACTATTTGGGCCGATCGGCGCGGGCCCTCGCACTCCCCCCCCTCCACCCCCGTGGAGTAGATCTTGTCGGTTTTTGGCGCCTGTTTCGAGCAGGTGGAGCTTCTCCCACATAAGACGCACTTCTGCAAACAGTTGCACTAAGCAGAGGTCCAGATCCAGACACCCCCCTCCCCCCCTTTCCGCCCAATGTCGAAACGCCGAATAAGAAAACGCTCACCTTACAGTGCAAGAGTCAGCCACGTGGCGGTATATTGAGCAAAAGACGGAGGGGGAGGCGGAGGATGAGGAGGAGGAGCAGGAGGAGGAGGCGGAGGAGGAGGAGGAGGAGGAGGAGCAGGAAGGAGGAAAAGGAGGATGATGATCGAGGAGGAGCAGCAGCAGGATGACTCGGAACCGTAACCTCAACGCCTGGGGGCCCCCTTGGTGACGGGGGTGGGGGCCCTTTCGGGTGCCCCCAGGCTTTTGGAGGAGGAGCAGGAAAATGAGAAGGAGCAGGAGGAGGAAGAGGAGGAGGAGGAAGTGGAGGAGGAGGAGGAGGAGGAAGAAGAGGAGGAGGAGGGAGGAGGGGGGGGAGAGGGAGGAGGGGGAGGAGGAGGAGTAGCAGCAACAGGAAAAGGAGTAGCAGCAGCAACCCCATATCCCCGTCTCTACATTTTTACAAGCTAGGGGGGTGGCCCCCCCCCCTCCCAAGAAAACGGAACCTCCCAGATCCGTGGCTCCGGGGGCCCCTGGACGCCCCTGCGGGTGCCCCCCAGGCTTTCCGGAGCTCCTGGAAGCCCATGCTGGGCCTAACGGTCAGCTCCGGAGGCCCCTGGAAGCTTCTGCGCTGCTCGGTCAGGAGTGAACGGCCCCCCGAGGGCCCCAAGAGGCCCCAGACACCCACCAGACGCCCGAAGACGACCCAGAAACGACCCCCAGAAGGCTGTCGAAACGCAGGAAGTAGTGATTATCAATTTTTGTTTTTATGATTTTGGGGATTCTCTGTTCTTCCGTATTCGGGGCGTCCAGGACCGCCCATGAGACCCGAACATCGCGCCAAATTTATCCGAAACGGCTTCCAGGCAATCCAAGAGAGCTTTAAGACGGCACAACAGCGTTCCAAGATGGCCCGAAGAGAGCCCCATTACGGTCCAAGATGGCTCCGCGCGAGTTATCCGGCGCCTTCCCGCCCTTACACATCCAATTGGCATAATCCTCTACCGGATCCAAGCAAGTGAGGCAAACCCCATCAGCCAGCAATGTTCTTTTCGATTCATCGAATATGTGCCACAGCATGGTTTAGAATGCGATGTAATGAAACATTGAGCAAAGATGTTTGTTTTGAAAGGCGATTGCAATACAGATCGGACCCGAGGCGGGATCGCAACAACTCGTATAAGTAACCGTAGGGAAAAACTCGGCGCGATACCTAATGATCAGTTGGACCTTCTCCGACAAATGGGTGAAATCGAGCCTTTGTTGTTGCTCGCAGCAGTGCAGTCCCCTAGCTATGTAGGGAACAAATTGGTATGCTGAGGCACCGAAATTTGAATACGTCGAGAAAGTTGTCGAAGTTCCCAAGGTTGCATTTGTGACGGGGAAAACCGTAAAGCACACATTTCGCATGCCAAATGGTCGTGGTAATGCCACCAGTGACGAGTTGCGTCAAATTGGCGTCCCATCGATTCGGGCCAGTCACGTATCCGTGAAGACGAACCGATCAAGGAAGCGGCGGTCGCACTTGGGGTTTCTTATGGCGTATTCAGGCGCATATGGACTTGTTCATCGATGCCAACGACGAAATGCAGTGGTGCTGGACATTTTTGAACCTCAGAGTTTGGAGCGCAAAACAAGATTCCCGACCCGAATCACACGCAGTTATTCAGGCACGACGCTGGTCAGCGATATGAGTTCATGCATCGCGATGGTCTTGGTCGGAGAATTTGCAGCACTCTTCAGAATGGGACCGGCTACCCGCTGAGCAAGACCGACGCTTTTTGGGGATTTTACAAGTTACGCAAACGATGGCCGAGGTGATGGGTCGTACCGTTCAATATATGAAGCGATATTGCCCCCTCTTTGACTCACGCCCCGTGATCAATTCTATGGGAAAGACCATATCCGTGGAACCAATGATGCAGATTCCGGCTCGTAGAGCAAGCATTTCTACTACGCCAGAGTTTCGGCGTTCCGGCGCCTCATCCGAGTTTTTTGAGGGCCTTCCCCTGGGGCGTACTCTTGTTCTCGTCCTCTTCCGGATCCACGGAGGGAAGAGGGACGGGGTCGTCGCGAAATGGAGGGGGCGATGAATGGTGGGGACAGCGATGGCTGCAGAAAATGGGCTCTTCAGAGTTACTAACAGGGCCCTGTAGGGGCGCCAAAGATGAGGGTCTTTCGGGCCCGGGAAACCATCGGCCCCCTACTAACCGAAGCCCTAGGGACGGGAGCGGGTTCGGTTGCAAATCACGGGAGCCTTGTGTGTGTTTTCGACTGTACACCTTCAGGGTGCATTCGCCTGCGCTGCGCGTGTGGCAATCGATGGTGAAGTCCAGACTTCCCTTCGACTAGCGTCGATTTAGCGCAAACCAGCGAAGGCGAGCGTCGACACGCGTCGGCCAGTGCCGATTCGCAGGAGCCGGCCAGATGGCACGGGATGCTCACAGGGCCCAGGAACTGCCACCGAAGGCAGGGGTCGACCTAAACGGTGTTCTGGCGATCTCGTGGGCCGTCCTCGTTTCGACATCGGTTTGTAGCGAAGTTGGATCGGAGACAAAACGAGGGGAAGCACGAAAAACATTGTTTAAGGCGATC